CAGCAGATGCTGAGGACTTAACAGCATCCGAGGCCTGTGTCAGGGGCATGGGTACAGCAGGACCCGGACACTGTCCGTCTGCTCAAGGACCCAGAGGGCTGTGGGAGCTGGGACTGTGGTGTGAACAGAGTTCTCCTGGACTCTCCCCAGGGAACGAGTGTCAGAGTGAAGACGTTTCTTACTTCAGCTCCTAAGTTGTGAGGCCTCAGGGAGAAGGTCCAAGGTCTTGGGCACCTCTGAGTACTCCTGTGAGGCACTCCCTAAATATTTCCCAAATAAAGTAATAAGTGTAATGTGCCTTTGGAGGAAACTTTGCTTTGATAAAAACTTCTACCTTGGATTGGTTATGTTTTTGGTCATTATCAAATGTAGAGCCTAGGGGTCTTTGTTTGAAGACTGAGATACGAATTAGTCTTCAAATAATCCTCCTTCAGGCCTCAAATCTATAACCCCCAAATGCCAAACCCTCCCAAGAAGCACTACGCACAACATTCTTGTAGTCATTTTTAGATAACTCTTAGAGATTGTAATGCTAGTATTTTTAGTAATACTCAACCAAGACAAGAAAGGAATCCACATATCTGAATAAAACTTGTGTATGGAAGTACTGATGGATTAAGAAACAGTATGAAGTCCAAGCACAGAGGATGCCTTGGGAACTGAGATCTGTTTAATGTAAACTTGGGCCTTGGAGGTAATAGCAACTTTCCCTTGATTTTCAGTCTACACTTTTGATTTCATTCATTCTTTCAAGTGAAAGCATGCTGTCTCCCAAAGAATTTATTCCAATGTAAGACATTAAGTTAACATGATGCAGAATGAACAAAGGAGCAGGCTTCAATAATTAAGCAGCCTACATATTTAATGACACGTCTTGCATGCATCAGAGGTCCTGGCTAACAGCTGCAGATGACTTTGAAGGCAACTTGAAAGTGCTGTGATGACAAGAGATGGTAAATCATCAAATTAGGAATTAGAGAGTTTTGTCCTATTAATATGCAAGCAGACTTTTTAAAGTGTCAAATAATCCAAGCTGTTGACAAAAAAATGGAAATACCATTTTCTTAGTCCACAGAAGCGTGGGATGGCAAAGGAGGCAGGGAACGTCACAGGGAGCTCACCAGCCCGAGGCTGACATGTCTCCACCATCAAGTTCTGCGTGTATGGGACAGGGCATGTGTTTGCTCCCAGGGTTGGAGCAGCCCGTGTCCACGCATCTTAGAGCAGACACACGGGGTGCTATGTGTCAGAACACACGGGTTTACTGACAGTTTCAAGATACATACATCGATATAATTTCCATTGATGTAGTCTGAGTTGTTGTCTCCTTCTATGGTCTGCAGCCTCACCCGGGAATGATCATCTGCAAAAGGAAAAAAAACCCAGCAATTAACAAGAGCTATCTGTCAGGCTGCTCAGAGCCCCACCATGTTAAGCACATTACAGAGAGGTATTCCACATCCACGCTGCTTTAAAGATAAACGGAGAGGAGAATTAAATACTCCACGCCCACATTCTTGCTCTTAAGACAGGGAAGGGTTTTTATAATCCTTTGCGCTTTACAGGAAATCTCATTAACTTATTCTTTGATCATTTACAGATGTGAAGCGTTGGCAGAGGTCTGAAACTTTTACCTAGAGTCCTGTGAATCACAGTGGAATGATTTCTTGATTTCTTGGACTGGAAGTTCAACAACTTCATTAAATCACATGTGAGCCCTGAGATTCTGAAGGCTTCCTGTGACATCCACCTTGACAAATGACGGTTATAAACCACGGCCCAGCCTCCCAGGAGATGTGGACATGGTTCTAACCTCAGTCATTGACCCAGAGTTCTCTCCCCCTGCCCCGAGGGCATCGGCCGGTGGAGCAAGTCTGTCCCCATCAGCCACGTGACCCCAGGCCACTCAGTTACACCACCAAGCCTCGGCCACTCACCTGAAGGAGGGATGAGAGCACCTGCCTCACACTGGGCCGTTTTAATAATTAAACAAAAACACAAATTGCTGACACACACCAAGTACTGTATAGGGGTCGTGATGGTGGTCCAATTAGCTACAGTAAACATTTTTTCTGAATGGAAGATTTTCTCCATAAATGCTACTGAGACATCTCAATAATTTCCTTGAAATCTAAATTTTAAAAAGGAAAGTGCTAAAACCTCTATAAGGGCATGGATTTTCCTGTTTTGCTCACTGTCCTACCACTGACCCTTATATCAGAGTCTGGAACATCGCAGAATTTCCCCCAAATATCTTTTAAATGAGTCAAAAGTGAACTTTTTGTTTTTTTAAAAATACGCCCTTTAAAAATTGTTTTCCTAGATGAATGTTCTTTGAAGCAGAGGAGCCCTTTCTTCCAATGAAAGCTTACACCCAAACCCAATATTTGGCAGACAAAGGCCAGCTGCTCTGAGGGGGAAGGAGTGTGGTCTCTGGGAGGTGGTCTGGGGAGAGCACTTTGCAAACCACTCTTCCCCTGACGCAGGGCAGTGGGAGCTCCTGCCTCTAAACTGCTGACATTTCATTTGGGTTAGTGGGTGAGAAATGATACCCCCAGACTGAGGCAAGAGCCAGGGAGCCTGCAGGTGACAGACCGTCTGACCCAAGGTCACTGGACGAACTGTCGATTTGAACCTGTTCCTTGGCTTGACGTGCTGAGTGAGAGCCAGCGTTTCAGCTGATCCCTCTGGTTCAGCCCTCCTCGGAGGAATGTTCTGTGTCCAACAGTGGGGCTAGAGGGAGATCCGTGTCGAGCTTCTAACTCTCCTTCATTGATGGGGCTTCTCACTCCAGTTCTGGACAGACGGTCATATCGTTTCCTGCCTGTGCCTTACGATTAGCCTGGGCTCAGTACATTTACCCGGAGAGTGGGGATAAAGTGGGTGGGACAGGGGCGAAGCCTGGAGGGAGCCGTGTCTCCCTGCTCTGCTCAGGGAGAACACGTGCGGGCAGTGGCCCCGCGTGTGGGCTCTGGGGTCAGAGGTGCCGGTTGGAACCCCTCACTTGTGATTTCGGGCGAGTTGCTTCGTCTCTCTGGGCTTTCCTTTCCTGAGCTGCAAAATGGGGATTCACAGTGCCTCCCCATGGGGTTACGGTGAGCGTGAACATAACACACAGGAAGAGATGAGCAGAGAGCCCGGTGTACAGCGAGTGATGGATAATGCCAGCTGTTGTTATCACCACGTGCTGGGTGACACACACTCGTGCTTTCCTTCTCACCATCTTTACACTGGCTGCCCAAACCGACAAGAGCAAGCCGGGACCCACGGGCAGGCAGGAATTTTCCCCGTGGTGACCTGCGCCAAGAACTAGTTTTCTAGAATCCATTTTGCTTAACACCAGAGGCCCCTGTCCAGAGTTTGCCCGTGTCGTGGGGAGGGGGGGGGGCGGGTTCTTGGGGCACTGGGACGTGTGGATTGTCACCGCTTTCGCACGTGCTGGCGGAGCCAGTGCACACACGGCTACTGCAGAGGGAGCTCGAGGCGGCTCTGCGGGTAAAGCCATTTGAGCTTCCCGAATGAAAGATGCTACAACAGAATCCAACCATGACTCTTCTGCACACACTGGGCTTTCAGTCGGCTCCTCTGAAGGAGGTTAGGTTCACTCCCTGTCCTCCCTGACTTTCCCTGGGCTGTGCTTTAAAAGGCAGGCACCGCATTCGAGCCTCCTAATCTTTAGACGCAAGTCTATCTCAGGATCTGTTGTGCTCCTTGTCAGAATCCCTCCTCTTTCATGCTTTATATCCCTGAGAACCTCAGGATGAATGCCACCAGGTCCCCGTGACCTACCACCACTGGGCCTCTCAAGTGGTTCTGGAATGTTCTCATTAGGGACTTCGATCTCAGACAAGGCCGCACTCTCATCTCCCATCAACAGAGCCTTTGAAATAAAGAATTTCCCCAACATCTACTATTCAATCAGCTAAGCCCCCACAGAGCTGTTTTTTTTTTTTTTTAACTTCACTGCTATTTCTCCATTTCTTTTTTAAGAGCGACAAATGTCAAAGATTTTTATTTAGTTCATGAAGGAAGCAGGAAGATGTTACAACTGGTTCAAGGAGAATTTACCAGCAGATCTATAACCAGATCTAGTTATCTAGATAGATAAATAGATATAGGTAGATCAATCGATGCAGGTATATAGATATAGGTAGATAAGTAGATAATCTAAATCAGGATATGCCATGGAATGAATTTACAAAGAAATGGAAAGCTGGCTTTTACTGGAACTACTGACCCCCGAAGGACACAACTCATTTACATATTATTTCTCCAAATTTAATTGCTCCACTTCTCGCATGACATAGAAGCCTGTAAGACACATATAAAGCCTATTTCCCATGTAGACTGGATTGTTTTTATTTCTCTTTATATGCATGCTCTTTCTGTATTTTAAAGTTGATTCTACAAGACTATGTATGACCCCTTATGGTCAGAGACCACGTAGTGTCCACTCCGAACATCCCCACAAGGGTCCTTCATGAGGGTCACAGCGCCCACGCGCAGGGCTCCTCTCACAGCCCAGCAGCGATTCTGCCCAACACACGGCTATGGACACCAAGGATGACCTCTTCCCTAGGCTAATGAATATGGCGGAAGAAGGGCAAGTTGTGTTCAGGCGAGGCTCACCGGGGCTTCCCTGGGTGCTGGCCATGGTCCTTTTGTGGACCTGGTTAGTGCTTTTATGAGTGTTTGCTTTACAACAATGTATTAACCCATATATGGATGTATTATACCCTTTTCTGTACCTATATTCACCCTTTAAAAATAAAAGAGTCCACCTTGAGGATAGTACGCTCAGTGAAATAAGCCAGACACAAAAGGGCAAATAGTGTATGATCCCACTTATATGAAGCATCTGGAGTGGTTAAATCCGTGCAAGGAGCAAGTGGGACAGTGGTTGGCAAGCGCTGGGATGGTGCGGAAGAGTGAGCTCTTGTTTCATGGGTGCAGAAGAAACCTAATGTCACTGAACGGTACACTTAAGAATGGTTAAGATGCTAAGTTTTATGTTGCGTGTCTGTTACCAAAATTAAAAAAAAACGAAGAGCCCACTTTCTCCATGCCTCCTTGTAGGACACCTCCTCACATTCCACTTGAGCCCTGGGCTCCTAGGAAGCAGTACTTTCAAGGTGGGAAGGGCACCTCGAGGACCTGCTGTCTCATAGCCCGTGGGGTCCCTTCTGCTGGTCTCCTCCTGAGAGGGGCTCGTTCCCTTCCACGATGCAGGAGAGGCAGTGACTATATGGCCTGCTCCTTGAGGACAACTGCCATACTTTATAATAAAGTGTGCTGAGTGGGTATGTTTGGGAATTATTGAAATGAGGCCTACGAGGTGTTCTTTCTTTCTGTGACAACGTAAGTGTGAGTACCGATGAGTCAGTGTAAGTTGAGACAGGCAGGCAGATATTTCAGCAGGGAGAGTGGGCTCGCCCTCGGGTAGGAAGGAGAACACGGGGGGCAGAAGCTGAGCCCACAGAGAGAAGAGTATGGAGTTTCCTTAAAAATCTAAAAATTAGAGCTACGGAGGATATGGCAATTCCACTTGTGGGCGTATATCTTGGGAAAACCATCAATCGACATGACACATGCACCCCAACGTTTAGTGCTGCCCTGTTTCCAAGGGCCTAGACTTGGAAGCAACCTAAATGTCCTTGGAAGGAAGAATGGATAAAGAAGATGTGCTACATATGTACAGTGGAATATTACTCAGCCATGAAATGAGGGGGGCTGGTCCTCGCACAACTGCCCTTCTTGGGTGGGATGTTAGCACTTATCAAGTTAATCCTCTGCCTCCCAGCAGGCTGTTGGGAAAACCATCCGTCCTAAACAGCAGTGAAATAAATAGGAAAGTATCACCCTCCTCCACGCTGAGCCAGTGAAAGTAAAAGCAAAAGAAGTAAGAGAATCCTCCCCTCCAGCCACAAGAGTCTACTCCAAGCTGCTGCTCGGATACCTGAGAACGACTTGGGAACAGAAACTGGATTCTCAGACATCCTCTTTCACATCAAGCCCTCATCTCAGGAGACTATAAAAGCAATAAATATAGATTGTTGGAGGCAAATAAAGCAGTACACGGAGGCTCACTGCCGTATTTTCTTGAAATCTGATTCACCTTGAATCTGATGCCAATTAAGAAGACTAATATGTACCAACCATTCTTTTAGAAAAGCTCAGTGCCTTCTGTTGGGGCTAAATAGTATCAAATGACTATAGGGAGATGCCCAGAGGATGTTTCTGGCCTGAAGCACATATGGGGTCACTCAGGCAAAGGATCCACAGAAATGCCAGCTGCCCACTGGCTGAACTCTGTCCTCCCAGTTGGCTTTGGAGGCAGACCAGCTGGAAGTCGGCCAGAGTCCA